AAATCCCGGTCTTTTAGAAATTTCTCAACTGAATGCTTCATGGAAACAGGCAAAACGTTAGAACTTGGGGAAAAACTAAAGATAATGAGAGATACAAAGGGGTCTTATGTTCCAGATGCCTGTAAGCAGGCACGTTTGCCCCGGGTCCCCACTTTTCATCTGTGGCCCTACAGGGCAAACAGGATTAATTAGTGGTGTAGGGTGTCTCGTGTGCACGCGTGCGTGTGTGTGCGTGCACGTGTGCACTCACGCATGTATGTGCCTGTCTCTGTCTCTCTCTCTCATCCACAGTCTGACCTCTAGGTTCTGGATTGTTCCAGAGGTCATTCCAGCTCATGCTTTAGATTTTCATTCCCTCCATTGTTTCCTTTCTGCATTTCTCTCTGTTCAGAGCCTGTACCATTCCTTCTTTTTTTGTTGTTGTTTTTACATCTTTATTGGAGTATAATTGCTTTACAATGGTGTGTTAGTTTCTGCTTTATAACAAAGTGAATCAGTTATACATGTACGTATGTTCCCATATCTCTTCCCTCTTGCGTCTCCCTCCCTCTCACCCTCCCTATCCCACCCCTCTTGACATCTGCTTTTCAAAGACATTGATTTCAGTTCTTCCGCATGAACCATAATACTTTTTAAATTGGATGATGTTATTATTTCTAATTTATTTTCCTGAAAAATCAAATGCTATAATTGTTTTGAGGTGTTTTATTTTTATGACAGTGTTCAAATATATAAGTATTTTAGTAATATCTTTAAAAGGAAGGTGCCCTCTATCATTCTGTTGTTAGAGATTTATTCGAGGAGCTACAACAAGCTAGAAAATGTGGCTAGGAGTAAAAGGTGGCCGGAAGGGATTTGCAGGAGTTCTGTTGCAACTGTAGATTGTTTATTAATCGGCTACTATGTCAAGAATTTTTTGGCTTTGAACACTTTGAATTGTTAGTGGCACACATAAAAGGTGTTAAAAGATATATAATTATGGAATTAGAGCAGGGATCTTGCCCAGAAGGCTCTGGTTTTGATTTGGACGCTGGTGCCAGAACTGTGGCTTTCCGTCCATTCATTCATTGACCAGGCAATCTGGGCAACACCGTGCACAGTAGCTGTGTTCGTCAAATTTCCTGTCTTTGATCTTTAACTGAATAGAAGCTGGGTCTCTTAGGACATTTAAAATTAGTCTGGAAAACACAGAAATCTAAGTCAAACTGAATAAACCAAAAAAGGTGATCAGTTGGCTCAAGCAACTGGAAAATCCTGGAACTGGTTCCAGAGCCGCATCCTTAGGAGTCGTCATTTCTTTCGCTTGGCCCAGCTTCGTGCTGCTGTTTCCGTTCTCAGTCACATTGGCAAGGTGAGCCCTTAGCTGCTTGGGCATTGCCAAGGGTCAGAGCACCAATGTTGGGGTACCCTTCCTGGCTTGGCCCCTGGGCTCATCCCTGGACCAGTCACTGTGGCCTGAAGATGCAGCACTTTCATTGGTCAAACCTGGGTCACATGTTACGGGTGGAGTTAGCCCCACATAACTAAAATGATTTTAGTTAGAGGTATGGTACCCATTGCCACAAGAAAGAGGAATACATCTGAGACAGGAAAAACCAGTGGCCGTCTGATACAGCTAATGTTCTTATCGCACGCACAAAATTAAAAAATCATAACTGAAGGAATATTTTCAGAAGATTTCTTTGGCAAAGGGTCTGTGTGCTCTGAGTTTGCTACAGTTTTTGTGGTTTTTGGCAAGCCTAGTAGTAAAATTCAACACTAGTTCATCTATTTTTATTTGTTGCTATTATTCATTCATGTTTTAAAGTAATAATCCTTACTTTTTGACAGTTGTCGGTGTCTTCCATTTCTTTTTTTTTTTTTTAATAAATTTATTTATTTATTTATGGCTGCATTGGGTCTTCGTTGCTGTGCACGGGCTTTCCTCTAGTTGCAGCACGTGGGCTTCTCATTGCAATGGCTTCTCTTGTTGTAGAACACGGGCTCTAGGCACATGGGCTTCAGTAGCTGTGGCATGTGGGCTCAGTAGCTGTGGCTCACGGGCTCTAGAGTGCAGGGTCAGTAGCTGTGGCGCAAAGGCTTAGTTGCTCCGTGGCACGTGGGATCTTCCCGGACCAGGGCTTGAACCTGTGTCTCCTGCATTGGCAGGCGGATTCTTAACCACTGCGCCACCAGGGAAGACCTTCCATTTCTATAATAGATCTGTGGAATAAACATTTTGTAGTTTTAATGCTGTCTGTTGCAAACAATGATACTATTGTAAATGTAAACGGATGTGAAAGCTTGGAAGACCAGTTTTCAGATATGAGTCCAAGCCCAGTGACCTCTGATAACTTTATGGTTAGTTTTTCCAGAACAAGTTATTCAGTGTCTGTGTTGTCCACGTTAATCCTAGTTTTCAGGTTTCTGTGTTTTACACATTCCTGGCAGGTGGCTTGAACTCAGAGCATCCTTCTGGGGTGTGTGAGTGGGCTGCTGGTAAGGGGGGGTGCTGGTTTGCTGGTGGTGGAGTGGGGGAGGGGGACCAGAGTCTCACCTGTGCCCCGAGCCTTGAGCACCTTCCTGCTTTGACTGCCATGTGCTGTGGGAACATTGGTATTTCAGTGTGTGCCACGACAGGGAAAAGGAAGAAAAGCAAGGTACAAACTACATTTTTAGATAGCATTTGGTCTCATAAATGAGAGGATGAAGGGGTTTCAAAGTCGTGGTTAAGGTAGCTCTTTGCATTTTGTGCATACATCGGTCATATATTTAGTTAGGGATTGTTATATTTCTACCCTCTTTGGTGCTAATCACTCTATTTAAATTTTCCATTCTTGGATGGGTTTGGGGAGTTTGTGTTTTGCCAGGAAATCTTAGTTTCTTCTATGTTTCTAAGTTTGTTGCTGTAGAGTTGCTTGTGGTATAATTCTTTTACACTTATATTTACTTCAATACCTCCTATATGTGTGGTCATTTCTCCTTTCTCCTTTCCAAACTTATGTAATATTATTCTCCCTTTCTTTCTTTCTTTCCCTTTTTCAGGTTTGGGAAGGAGTGTATCTATTTTCTTATTCTTCAAAAAAAAAATCCACCTTTTGGATTTGTCTATTCTTTTATCCCCTACCCCCTGCCATTCCATTAATTCCAGCTTGTATCTTTCTTCATTCCTTCTTTCGTGGTTTCTTTTGGTACATTTTGTTGTTCTTTTCCTAATTCCCTGAGGTGGTGAGCACTTAGTTCCTGATTATATTTCTAGAAATGTCACAGTTCAGTGTTTGGAACTGGGTACTTGGCAGGGCATGGTTCTTTCTTCGGTAACAAGGATACAGATTAGTATTAGATAATGAAAATGAGTATCAGATTAATGCCTCTTGAGAATTCACATAGCTCTGTACCAACCATTAGAAGCTTTTCTTACCCTTTCAAATTGTGTTGAGTGTTCTGTAAGCAGGAGACTTAATAGAATGTATAGATTATGCAGAAGCCTACTACAGTGAATCAAATACCATTTCAACAGAGAGCTATTAGGCAAGAAGCTGCTTTCTTTCGTATCTCGGTCGTCATTTTGTTTCAGTTTCCGGGAAAGGATTCGATGATAACCTAAATTATAGAGGAAATCACTATGATTCAGAATCATCTCTGGTTCTTTTCAATACAATACTTGTAAGTGAAATAGATAAGATGCCGTCAGCTCTGGTCTCTCTCTGAGAACTCTGGGCATATCCTGGTCTGCCGAGCGCACGGAAGCATCTGACTGCACATACCCCCTCTGTTTGCCACACCCTAAAATACCATTATTTCCTCAGTCATGAAGCTGCCATGGGAGCAAACAGCATGTTGTCATGCCCAGACTGATTTTTTCCCCCCCAATGGCGAAGAAAGCAAGCTGCCCTCATAAGAAAATGTCTACTATTCCAGGAGACCATCACATGGTCATCACAAAGTCATTAAGAACCCACTGGAAGGAGTCCTTACACTGTTTAGCTAGTTGGAATTTTAACATTATCCCTAACTGAATTGCAGTTAGTTTTTATGCTTTGGTGAAGGCTGAGGGAAATCAGCTATATTACATCTTTATTCTCATCATTATTTTCAGACGTGGTAGAGTCATTCTTCTTTTTATTCTTGTGCCAACAGTAAGATTCCCAGACAGCCATGAATTCGGGAAATAGTAATACCTGGAAAATATTTTTGTCTAATTAAAGATAGAACAAATTGAAAAATTATTTGTAATTAAAGAGGAGAGTTGGTGAAGTCAAGTTTCTGCCAGACACAAAGGTAAATTGTGTCTTAAATCTCTAAGCTTCCCTGCACATTTGTCAACTTGCTAGTGGTGTCATGAACTAGAAAGTTGTACTTGTTCAGATGCCGGATTCTTGAAGACTCCTTCTCACTGTCAGGGGATCTCTGTGAGTTCTTATTTGCTTGCAAGAGAGCATTCTGGAAACTCATTGTTAATGCCTTGTATTGACCTTGGTGCTGCTGGACATTTTGAGTTTAACTGGTTTGAAAGAAAGTTTGAGAATACCCAAACAATTCCATGACCATTGTGTTACTCTTACAACTAATTGAAATGTTGCTTGATTACCTGATTTAAGCCAGGTTACATCAATAGATAATGTTGATACTGAGCTGAAGGGCATAGCTCCTGGCTTAGAGGAGCTTACAGTTAGCTGGTGGTGGAGACGGATCAGTACAGCAGCAGTAAGAGTATAAGGGAAAGTGCTGTGACTGGTGTAGGTGCAGAAGCCATGGAAACATAGAGGAAGCGGTCCTTGCTCAGATGTGGGCTGAGCGTGGGAGGGGACTGCTTGATTGTGGGGTGTAAATTTTAAGCAGCCAGGTACAGTGAGTAGGCAGAGCGTTCAGGAGAGAAGGAGGGTGTGAACAGGGAACCATGAAACTTCACGACAGTTTACGGGGAATTGGAGAGAAGGGCAGATGAGAAACCACGTGGAGGATGTGTTGAACTGGAGCTCCAGTGATTGTTAATGGCTATTTTCTGTTTTTTAATTCAGGTAAAGGAACTGGCCAGATGTCTTAAGGGATGCTTTTGAAAAGGAGAGAGGTGTTCAAAATTATTACAGCAACTGAGAAGCAAGTTGGTTTTGGAGGAACTGTACTCTGAGGATGTTTGCTTCTATACAAGTATAGAAGAAGCCTTTGTAAATAACAGTGTCATTGGATTTGCATCAGTCTTTCCGGCGAGACTTGGAGCTTCCTGCCTCATCGGCAGACGTGAGTGACCCCAGGCAGTCACAGGAAGAGCAGCAAAAGGTCGGCAGAGCCTCGTCGAAGTTCAAGGGTCCTCCCAGAATCATGCAGTCCGATGATTATTTTGCTCGAAAATTTAAAGCCATCAATGGCAACATGGGACCCACCCCTTCCTTAAGTGCTTCCAGTTCCAATGAGAACGGTGGTCCGGCTAACGGTACCCCGGCCGTGCCCAAGATGGGTGTCAGAGCAAGGGTGTCTGAGTGGCCTCCTAAAAAGGACAGCTCCAAGGAGCTGACCTGCAAGGCCCTGTGGGAAAGCCGGTCACAGCCCAGCTACGAAAGTGTCACGTCCATTATGCACAACGGGCAGAACAACCAGAGTGAGCGCCAGCAAGAGGAACCACTCGACCTCGACTTCGTGGAGGCGAAGTCTACCGTCGGAGACATCTTCGTTCACTCTCCACAAAGAGGACTGCACCCCATAAGACAGAGGAGCAACAGTGATGTTACCATCAGTGACATCGACGCGGAAGACGTCCTAGACCAAAATGCAGTGAACCCCAATACCGGGGCCGCCCTGCACCGGGAGTACGGGAGCACGTCTTCCATCGACCGGCAGGGCCTGTCGGGGGAGAACTTCTTTGCTATGCTCCGAGGCTACCGGCTAGAGAACTACGACCACAGGGTGATGGCCCCGTTCGGGTTCCCCGAGTTTTTCCCCTGCGACCCTGCGATCTCCCCCAGCCTTCACGCCGCAGCACAGATTTCTAGAGGCGAATTCGTGCACATCTCAGGATTAGACTATATGGACAGTGCCCTCCTCCTGGGGAGAGACAGGGACAAGCCTTTCCAACGGAGGTTGAAGTCGGAGTCCATGGAGACGTCCCTCTTCCGCAAGCTGCGGACCGTGAAAAGTGAGCACGAGACGTTCAAGTTCGCCTCTGAGCTGGAGGACGGGCGTCTGGAGAGGGGCGTCCGCCCTTGGAACTGCCAGCGCTGCTTTGCACATTATGACGTCCAGAGTATCTTGTTTAATATCAACGAAGCCATGGCCACGAGGGCGAACGTGGGGAAGAGGAAAAACATCACCACCGGGGCCTCGGCGGCATCCCAGACCCAGATGCCCATGGGCCCGACGGGCAGCTGTGACTCCCCGCTGGGGAGCAAAGAGGACCTCAACTCCAAAGAGAACCTGGACACGGACGACGGGGATGGGAAGAGCAACGACCTGGTCCTCAGCTGTCCCTACTTTCGGAATGAGACAGGCGGGGAGGGCGACAGGAGGATCGCGCTGTCCAGGGCCAACTCGTCTTCCTTCAGTTCCGGGGAAAGCTGCTCCTTCGAGGCCTCACTCAGCTCTCACTGCACCAACGCGGGCGTCTCGGTCCTGGAGGTGCCCAGGGAGAACCAGCCGATCCACAGGGAGAAGGTCAGGCGCTACGTCATCGAGCACATCGACCTGGGGGCCTATTACTACCGCAGGTTCTTCTACGGCAAAGGTAAGGGGCCCTGTGTGTCCCGGGGCCGCTTCCCTGGGGCCCCTTGTGGTATGCGGCTTTGGGTCGGAGCCTGTCCGAGGCCGTTGTCCACTAGGTTGGAGCTTGTTCTGTGTCACAGAGCCTCCATTGCTGCCGGACTGATCCCTTCTTTATTTATTTTTTATTTTTTTAATTTTTTGGGCCACGCCATGCAGCACACAGGATCTTAGTTCCCCAACCAGGGATGGAACCCGTGCCCCCTGCGGTGGAAGCGTGGAGTCCTGGCCTCTGGACCACCAGGGAGGTCCCAGATCCCTTCTTTAGAAATCCCCAGTTCCCTGCCTTTGCTGATCCCTAGTCCCTGAAGTGGAAACGTCTGCTCTTTCCTTCTCTCTGCCAACGTGTGAGTGTCACAGACGTCGGACTCCACTTAGGCTTACCCCTTTTAGGAAGTCTTCGCTGCTGAGCTCCATTGCTCTCTCATTGCTCTGAATAATCTCTTACACTGGGTACAGTTCTGGTTCCAGTTCTGGTTCTTTTCCCTCTCGTTTTTTCTGTACTTTTCTCCTACACCTTTGCTTCATCTTTTTAATTTTATGTCTTCACAGCTCCTTCTGCCTTGTTGTACGTAGTGGAAGCGTTAAGTGAATCTTTGTGGAAAGAATGTATGAATGTATAAATTAGTAGGATGGACAAATTTAGTCTTCTTGCAGTTTTACACATAGGCTTAAAGGTTCAGATACAGACATTTCCTTGGTATTGTTATTTCAGAAATTCTTCAAGTACGCGTAGAATAAATGATGTTTATTTTATTTGTATGCTTAGCCTTGAAGGATGCATCCCTCAGAAGTCATGTAGTTGAACCCCCAGCCTTTCAATGTGTCGTTAGTCATGCCAGGGACATGAGACGCCACTCTGTCTTACAGGCCCACAGAGAAACGTGTACCACGCGCACGTCAGTAACACACGCCAAGCAGAACGCCCAGGGACTCTCCCCCTGTCTTCTTAGTGGGTGTGACTTGCTTCCGTGGCCCCTTCCTTCTAGGACAGCATACTCTTTGGGGCTTAGTTTTCTGTTTGCGGTTTCACCTGCCACCCCTCTCCATTCCCAGGTGTCACCTCTCTTAGAGCACGAAGGAGGCAGAGGTGGCCCAGTCAGTCTCGGGGGGCCTCTCCTCCTTCTGTGCCTTCTGCTGTGGATAAATTCCAGCTGACTGTACTTAGACTTCATTTTAGTATTCGTTTCTGTCTTCAGAATGCTTGCCTGCAACCTTTGACTCCAGCTGTTTCTTTTTGGGGTTGGTCGGGCTGTAGCTCTAACCTCAGGAGGTCACTCCATCCACTTCAGTCCCTGGAGCCTTCTTAGTGCTTTTTCCCCTGGACTACAAGCTGGACCAAGTGCAATTATTAAATTAATCATCCCCCCCCCTTTTGCATCATTCCAGATTTAACCAGTCATCCATAATCATAATATTAGGAAAGCATATTAATCAATGGAATGAATAGAATGTTGATAAGCGACGTAGCTAAATAAGCAGGCATTTGAATTGTGACTGGTCATGTAGCTTGAGTTGTCTTTCTGGTCTTGTACGGACGACATGATGGGACTGAAATAACTTTGTCAACATCTTGAGTCCCTGGCTGTGTCCCCAACACTCCCGTCTCAGCCCTGGCTGCTGGTGGGAGTCAGCATCACCCATTGTGATGTTACTGCCTTCCAGCCAGTGAATGCACAGAATCTCGGATCTTCTCTGTGCGGGAAATAACCCAGGACTGTTCATGCAGGGGCAGAGGATTATAAAACTCTGCTCACGGATGCCCTCGAGGTGGAACTTAGTTATTTTTGGAAAGGGAGACCATGGAGAAATAGGCTTCCTGCTTAAGATATTTTGTAAAAATTGTATATGCGTATGTATCTGTATACACGTGTATTTATGCAAATACTTCGTGCCAGCATCTCATTTGTTGTACTCCTTTGCATAGCTTAGCGTATTAAGTCTACACAGTGTATATGGAATAAAGGACTGATGTTTTCTGGGCCCAGGCAGGGCTGCCGCCCTCTGATCCATTTAATGTCCTTAAGGTCTGTTCCACGAGATAGTTTTAGGTCGCTAGATTCTCTTAATTCTCTTGACTGGTTTTCGTAGTTTTTCTCCTGAACTCTGTCACTTCCTGATAATTGTAAAGAGCTGTCTGTGAGTGGTTTATTTCCTCCACTTTTCCTGATTTGCTACTGAGGATTTCCCAGGGCTTTAGAAATGACATCATCAAACTTGGTAGATTTTGAATGTGCAATAAAACATAAATAAGAAAAACCTGAGAGCAGACGCCCTGTGGTGAGTTGTAAGTGGGTGTAGACGTGTGGTTTGACAGTTCCGGGGTGCTGGGCGCACTCCGGGTCTGTGAATGAGGCAGACGGCCAAATTCTAGACTCCTGCACTAAGCCTGCACAATGAAGGTGCGGGACAGCCGTCCCCGGGGTCCTTTGTCTTGTGTGCTGCTGTTCTGTGCTGGGCACGGTGACTGTTGTGTGGCTGATGGGACTCGGGGCCAGGACAGAGCAGGAGGACATAGAATCAGACCCAGCCCAGCCCTGCCACTCTGCGCTCTCTCCCTGCAGCCCGGGACTATGCCTGCTTCCTCCTATATTTAGCGATTCCGCTCTTCCCCTGTGGGCCTGTGTGGCTTCAAACTGCAATTGGCTACAATGGCAGCTGCTGCCGCTTTTGCTGGTCTCTCTGTAGAGCCATTAAGGACTAAAGGCAGAGGCAGCAGCCCGGATTCCCAGCGGCCAGGTGGCCGAGGCCTCCTACGTGTGGGACTGGAGCCCAGCTTTTTCCCAAGGATCACAAAAGCATGTGTCTGCCAGATAAAGTGCAATGATTAAATTAATGATTTCCCCCCCATTTTTCACACCAGCTTCAACCACTGGAGTTCATATCTGCCAACACATCACAAGTTGCAGGAACAGCATTGTGTTTAAAAACAGAGGCCCTGGGCAGACTGTCACAGAGCATTTTTGCAGATTTTTTTCTTTCCCTTTTTCTCTTTTCCCTTCACTCAGTTCTTCTCTTTGGAAGCAGGCTTTCAAGGAATCTTTTGATACTTTCCAGAATGCCTTTTCTTTTCCTCCATTCTTCATTGTCCTGTGTGAAACTTCATTTTCAAAAGAATGACATGGCTCCCAATCGCTGGGAAAGGTTTAAAAGACCCAGCTCTCTGAATCTCTTTCTCTCTTTCTCTCCCTTCTTTCAAGTGACGATGCCCTACATCGATTGTCATAGGTAAACTTTTCAGCTTTAATAAGGTGGTTGACTCTTTTTTTTTAAATTTCATTTTATTTATTTTTTTATACAGCAGGTTCTTATCAGTCATCAGTTTTATACACATCAGTGTATGTATACATGTCAATCCCAATCGCCCAGTTCATCACACTGGTTGACTATTGGGTAGTTAACGTGAAATGGCTGTCCTTATGTTGAGGTGTATTCCTGCATAGGCTTTGAACGGCTTTGAATAACTTTGCAAAGGGATTTACGCGGGGGAGTGGCCTGCCACGGTGCCCTGTGGGCAGCATTGCTTGTCTGGGCAAATCCCTCTGTAGCCTTCAGTGAAACGGCTTTTTAAAAGAGCCGGATTGTAGCAAGCTTAGTGAATGCTCTCAAATGTCCCTTCCTTTCGCCGGCGATGACCCTGGTGCTGTGTGCCAGGCCGCTCTGTCCCTCATGGAGCTCTAGTGAAACTGCGGTTCCCTCCTGGGAGCTAGGGCCCGCTAGATGGGGATTCCACCTGTGGTCTTGGTTTGAATTGCCTTTAGCTTCCCTTGTAGCACAGCAGACCTCCTGGGGCTTACAGCCACTTAGAGCCGCTGGCCAGCAGCTGACTGTCCCGAGTGTGACTGGGGCCGGAGCCACGCGGACAGCGGAGGGATGCCGTGGGTTTCTGTGTGTCTTGCACTTTTTAGGCAATAGTGTACCTGAGAGTTGCTCAGGAGTTCTAAAGCTGCCCGATGCCTTGCTTCAGGTCACGCACACAAGAATGGCTCCTGAAGACGAAGTAAGTCACTTTGGGATAAACGGAGGTCAAACCAGAGACAAGGATAAAGCTGCGCCTCTTTGATAACTCAGGGGGGAAGTGAAAAGTGGCTGAATTGTGTCTGAGCCTTTGGGAGCATTATGTATGTGCCTATGGACGTGGAGAGTGGAGGGGATACTAAGGTTGACAATATTTATCTTTTTTTTTTTTTGGTTTAGGATTTTTAAATGGCGTATAAATACTATATGATCATTATGGGAAAATAAGGAAAGGTAGGGAAGCAAAAGAAAGAGAAAGAAAACCCCTCCAATCCATAAGAAAGAGACAATTCCCATGAATAGTTTCATCGTTATCCTGCTAGACTCTTCCTGATGCAGGTAAATGGATGTATGTGGAGCTTGCTTTGGGCGCTCATGCTTCCTTCATTGGTACTTCTGTCATTGTGTACACAGCTGCGTCAGCGCTCTAAGAGCCATTAGCAATATCATTGTCCGCCGCGGGCGCACGGGGAGATGCCAGGTATTTGCCAGCCGTGATCTGGGCAGAAGAGTTAATGACTGTATTTGCTTTACTTCAAAGAAAAATCTTTCAACTTGACAGAAACATAGTGATAAAGAGACCTATATTTCTTCCACCTGCAACACTACTCATGTCAAATATATTAATGAACGTTCATTTTAACAACAGATCTTTACTTGAAAAGCAAATTGCTATAAAGTTTAAATTTCATAAACCTTGAAAAATTATAGAAATTTCAGTCATGGCCTTCCCCATCTCCACTTGAATGTGGGCTGTGCTTAGTGACTCACCTCGGAAGGATGGAGTGTGGGAAGGGGGGAGAAGCCTGGCAAACATTGCCCCAGCCAGGTGATCCAGGTCAGCATCAACAGGGGCAAATCATGTGGATGGTTTGTACCCTTGATGTGATGGGAATGGCATTTCTGTGGTCTTCCTCTCCAAAAAACATAACCTCAGTCTGTTTAGGG